TCCCATGAACCCCCATCTCTCCCCGCTCCACCACCTCCTCCTCCTCCTCCTCCTCCGCCGCCGCCCCTGCCTCAGAATCTTCTGTACGCTACAAATCTTCCGTATCCCCCACCACAAAACTCATACGCCGCACCGCCTTCTCTTCCTCCTCCGATTCACTCTCATTACACATGTGGTCCTTACAGTTCATGCAGTTATGTGAATCCAATGGTGGGTCGCTTTAACTACCATTATCATCAGCATCAAAATCCTTACTATGCAAATGGGTGGTCTCCGATTAGGCCTCCGGTGATAGGACAGGTGCAACCGCCGCCGCCGTACGTGGACCACCAGAACGCGAAGAAGGTGAGGAATGATGTAAATGTGCACAAGGATACGTTGCGGCTCAAAATAGATGAGCAGCACCCTGATCAGCACCTGGTTTCTTTTGTCTTTGATGCCATGTTTGATGGGAGGTAAGGAAACCGGAGATTTGGTTTTTTTTTTTTTTGGTTTATTATATTAAGTTCTTGTTATATGTCGGATTTAGGTCTGTGGGTTTTGGTGAATCTGAGTCTCGGCCACTTTTGACTGGTTGGTAATTAGACCCGAAAAGAATTAAGAAGTTTGCTCTTTGAATCTTCAGAAAGATATGGGAGTAGGAAATTCTAATTCAAAAGCTTCATGTAACTAGTTGTCTACGATCTGCAGAACTGGATTGGACCGAAAGATTTAAGTACTAGAGAAAGGTTTATGAAGGTGATATATACTGAATAACTATGAGCATACATTTGCAAAATAAATAGTAGGAGAGTATTAATAAAGAGTTCAGGTGCTCTGGATGTTGGGAATGTTGATAGGATCATGGTTGCTAAAAATATTATTGATGGTATTATGAACAAGGACTTTAAAGCATTTAGAATTCTAGGGCATGACCTTCATATGGAATTTTGCTCCATTCCAAAATTCTGTTTGCCTGTTTCTTTATTGTAAGGAGTAAAAGCTTGTGAGTAGTCTGTATGAAGAAATTATCGAAGTCTCTGCATATCTAAATTTAAGTATATAGCATGACTGCAAATTAGACCATATTAGCAGAATTGAGTTGAAGTTTATTTTAGGTTGAAAATTAGACCATATTTAAATTCTGTTTCATTATCACGTCTTTTGAATGGCTGTTCAGGTTTCTGCAACTTGAGTAAAGAAAAGTATTAAGATGGGAGATATTCTATCTTGTGCGATTTAGTACAGAAAACCTTGTTTGCTATATGCCTGAATTGTATTTGCCTCTGTCAAGTAGTGAGTCTGCATTGCTCCTGCAGCCATTACTCTAATGCTACCCTCTACATGGAGCAAAAAGATCAAACTTATATATTGCTGAATGTTATTCTTCACTAATAGTCCTATCTTTATTTGCTTTCTGTTTATGTCCATTTCTGACATGGTTAAAGTATGAACCGGTCAGCTAATTATGTTGTTATTAGTGGTATAATTTCCAGGGAATATCTTATGGGTCCTTTTCTTAGATTCATTCCGCTCCTTTCTCTTTCTCTTTTAGATGATTGATGCAATCAAAGGGCATTTCTTGAAATTGAAAGTGATGAAATTTCAAATCCTTTCTTGTCTGATAACTTTCTTACAGTTAAGAATCCTGTTATCAGGAAGTAATAGAGTGTTCTTATGAAAATTGATTTTTCGTGAAATGTTCTTTCGTTCCTTTTCAGAGAGAGCATTCTTATGAAAATTGATTTTTCATTAGTTATTTTTTCATTCCTTTTCTGAGGCATGTACTCTTTTGCTTCGTTATATTAGAGCTTCAGTCTGAACCTCTATGTTTGTTAAGCGATTCTTGTGAGTATTATTTTATTTAAGATGTTACTTGTGCAATATAGTTTCTTCTCATTTCCAGTTTGAGGTCAGTAATGCTAGTCCACAGAAATTGTATTATCACTTCTATGATGCAAAATCTGTAGCTTGATATATTGGTATATTAGTAGTTTGTCTTCATGATATAAGTTGTTTTTTGAAAATAAGGGGTACTAGGTATGACGGAACTGTTAACTTTACTAGATTGAGTATTCTACATAAGCTCATAACATGAACATGATACGAATCATTTTAACGGGATCTTATGTTTTCGTTTAATATGCCTCCCTATAAAGTTAGTGGAAGCAACAATTTGTTTTTCTGAGCTTAACAGAATCACCTTTGCATATAAATGTTTTTGTCATTTTGAATTATATATGTCATTGATTATTTACTCAATATAATGAAAGTGGTCCTGCTAATGTAATGCTATTTTTAGTAGCATGTGAGACAGATCCAGGTGGAGATCTCCTTTTAAAACCATGGAGTCTCTCTTTTCCTCTATAACCATTATAGGTGTGAAATGAAGTCAATGATATTAGTCCTGAAAATATAGTATAATTGCTATTAGCATGTGAGACAAATCCAGGTTCAGAGCTCTATTAGAGACAGTAGGCTCTCCCTTTCCTGTATAGCCATTGTACTTGTGAAAAAGTCGAACAGCATTATTCTTGGAAAAGCAGTGTAATTTTTACTAGCATCTAGAATGTGAGGTAGATGCAGGTGCAGAGCTCTATTAAAAGCATGGGTTAGCTCTAGTCCTTAAGACTATTTTGACTAATAATGCCACTTATGATTGAATGATATCTGTTGGTTTTTGGTTTTTCTAATGGCACATCTCTTCTGTTCATCGTTTTTTTTTTTAAATGAAAATCCTCTCCTTAAGCTTGAATTTCCTGAGAGATTCTTGCTGTTGGATACTTGACTCTCCAAACATGACTGCTATAGCATGAGAAGTTTTTTTGAACTTGCTATGGGTTGTGAGCTATTAATTTTATGAACAGATGATGGCATCTGAAGCTGCATGTTAATATGATTTTCTTTATGCTTTTATCATTTAAACAAGCGATGTAAGCGCATGATATATTTGGCATTAATTTAACATGGGTCCTTTCCTTTTGTTCTCTAATTTACAGCATCACTATTTTCTACTTTGCCAAGGAGGAGTCAGATTGTAGATTTGTTCCCCTATTTCCTGAAGCTTTTATGCCAGTAAGAATCCCCTTTCAAAAAGGACTTGGCCAAAAATTTTGTCAGCCCTCAGGAACAGGAATTGATTTAGGCTTCTTTGAGTTAGATGACCTTTCAAAATCATCAGCTGAAGAAGATGTTTTCCCCCTTGTAATATGTGCCGAAACACGCGTATCACCACGCTTAGCTGATGAAAATCTTGATGAACTTGTATCAAATGCATCTGCCCATATGCAAGTTACCCAAGCTGTTCTGGAGAAAAACAATAATGATTCTTTCAAGGTGCAAGTAATAAGACAGATATTGTGGGTTGATGGAGTTCGGTATGAGCTGCGTGAGATATATGGAATTGGAAGCTCAGCAACAGCAGAAGGTTTTGATGATAGTGACCCAGGGAAGGAGTGCGTGATTTGTATGTCTGAACCTAAGGATACTGCTGTATTACCTTGCAGACATATGGTGAGGGTTCCCCCTGAATTGTTTAATTACTGCAATTCTTGCTTTTGTTTGTTTGTTTTTTTTTTTCTGCATATTAACTGAACAGTATGTTATATGCTGTTGAAAGTTAAAATCAGTAGGGGTGGGGAATGGGAGTGCTTATATAGAAAATTTGCTTCTGGGATTAGAAACATTTGCAACAGCCACAATGATTGAAACATTCATCTCTCTCCTTGCTTTGACGGAGATTCTTCCCCCTTTTATTTGTTCATGTCTAAATTTTCTCGAAGTTCACTTAGATCTAGCTTTTGGAAAAAATGGTCATAAGAATTTTCTTAGAAGTTCTTAGGAAAAAGCTCCATCTGTTTATGACAGGCCTGTTTTCAGGCCTGCTCTCTGTTTTTCTCTTTTCTCCACTCTGAATCTCACTTGGATATACTTGAAGCCAATATATGTTTTGTCTTGCAGTGCATGTGCAGCGACTGTGCAAAAGCTTTGAGGGTTCAGTCAAATAAATGCCCTATTTGCCGGCAACCTATTGAGGAACTTATAGAGATCAAGGTAAATAGCAATAATCTCTGAGAAGTTCTTTTCTTCATGCCAAGTTTGCTTGTATGGTATGACTGTTAAGTTCCTCTCTCTTTTGTTTTTGTAATATTTTATATTATAGTTATACATGCAACCATTTTCTTTTTGTGTATATTTCCACCTCACTTTTGGTTCTCTGACTTCCATTGACATGTCAGAGATTATCAGGCTTAGATCTTGCCATATAATTTGTAAAGCTTGTAACAAGTGAAATTTTTCTTCTTTCCTTCATTGTTTACATAAGGTATTATCAGTGAGGTGGAAGGATTATACCTTTCCCCTCATTACCGAAAGTTGTTTGAAGAATTAAAAAAATAAAATGAAGTCTTTGCGAAGCTCTAGAACTCATTGCTTTATGCTTTATTCTTTAACCCTTTCAGGAATGTTCTTAACCTGCTCTTCTTTCGTTAAAAAAATTCATCTGTTCTTCATGAGTATATGGGTTTGGTGTGTATGGATATTCAAAAAGCAACAAAAGAAAGATGCTGTAAGGGTGCTAGACCGGATGAACATAGTAGGTGTAGAGGCATGATTTTTTTCCCATTTGGCTAGCAGCCAAAAGGAGAGGCTGAAAGAGAATATTTACCATGGAAGTTAGCATTCAGGAATACAAACCAAGAATCTTCAAAACTTGGGTTATGTGTTGAGAGGATTTCTACTTTGAAAAGATGAGGAATACAAAAGATGTGCAATAATAAACTCACTTTTTGCATCTTATTAAAACATATTTATATTTGCAGTCTCAGAGCCTATCTTCTTTTATTGCTTGCAAGCAGGCTTGTCAAAATGGTAAATAACATTTGTCCAGCTGGTTGAAAAAACAAATTTTGGGGAATTTTCTATATAACTCATTCTTCTTTGCAGACCAACCTTCTAGAGCTTGTTAATATATATCTATATCCCATACACCCTACTAGTAGTTGATAGGGCAGTCGTACCTTGGTGGAAAATTCACTGTATAAAACATTTCCATTGATTAATTCAATAAGTTGGGATAGCAGTAGAACTTGGTTTTCAGCTTTTTTGCAGGTTGAGGTTAAGTTGAAAAAGTAAATCAAGAAAAATGGTGCAGAAAACATGCCAAGACATACTGTTGATCTGGAATTTGGACCTCTAAAATTTGATGCCATTTATCTATGAAAACAATGACCTTTTATCATTATTATCATTATTATTATTCTTCTTCTATAAGAGGCTGTCCTAATCGAACTGCCACCATCACTTACAGACATATATGCTACAGTTCTGAACTGTTTATGATAATGAAATATACCCAGTGTTGCTTGGACTTTGTTTTGTAATTTGCCTAACTTGCCCATTTCATGGAGCTGGCACCTAGCAGTTGATAGCTGCCACAGTTTTGGACTCTTCTATATCTACAACAATCTCTTTTTTTTTTTTTTTTTTTTTTTTAATTCCTGTGCTTTTTCTTTGCTTGGTGATGGTGGTTTTGTAGGCATCACCTGTTACTGTTAAACCCAACATTGATTTTTGATTGTGTAATTCAATAACTAAAAAAAGTTTTTACTTACAAATTGACATCATCAACTAAAACTATTTAATCCTTTTTTACCTGCTTTAACCTAACGTATTGTTTTTTTTTTTTTGTTCATAAATTTTTTTGGCTAAGCAGTTGGGGTGATTTTCGATTAATTTTATACGTTAATACTAAAATTTTTTTCCGAAACCCATTAAAGGTAAACTATGTACATCGAGGTCTTGTAAGAAGAACCGAGCTCTAGATTTGGCTTACAAGTCAGGAAAGCAATTACTATTTTAGAATAGAAATTGTGTGTGTTAAACTCTGATACATGTGAAATTCAATTAAAGGGAGGAAATTAGGCAAAAAGGAAAAAGAGAATGGAGTTGTTTGGTTATGTATGAAAGGAGGTTGCATACGATATTCAGATTTGGGTATCTACTTAACCTAATTTATGAAAAGACCCAAATGCATAATGTGAAAAGAAACAGCTAATTTGATTACAACATGAAAAATGCCAAATAAATAATGAATGCAAATTTCAATCTAAAGTTTTGGTGGTTCTGCCAAAAAAAAAAATTGAAGTGGGTCAAAACCCAAAATGATTATAATGGAAATACATAAAAAGTAAAATTAAATTAGAATTTTTTAAATAAAATAAAATAAAATTCTTTCCTTGGCAAAATTTCTCAAGATGTACAAAATCTCTCATAATATTAATTTTTCTCACACAAATTTGGGGGCTAAGACCAGAAAAATACTATTCTATTCGTGCATATAGATATATGTATATGTATATATGTATTATGTTGAGCATGTGAAGGTTGAGAGTTTGAGCATTTGCATTTAAGATTAGCAATAAATGGCCCCTCACCCATCTACCATGCATCCATCATCAATCACTGTCTCACACCCCATGGAGTGCTCATGTGACTCCTAATCATATTTGGCTATTTCCTTCCCAATTCAAATTTCTTAGCTTTCAGTTCCAACAGTAATAATATATTTTTTTACTGTTCAAATGGTCCTAAATCATTATGCTTCTGCAAATTTTATCAAGTAATTTAATATGATAAGTTGGTGCATTTTTTTTTCTACTTATAAGTTTTACACAGATGGAGTAAAAGAATTTGGTAGAATTTAAAAATCATAAAAAATAATAAAAATATCATAATTTCCAATTTCTTTTAATTAAAACTAAATTTATGCCATTGTTTTTGTTTTGAGATTAAAAAACCACATATATACTTAATAATTATTTTAAATTAAAAAAATATTTTATTAACTTTTATAAATAAATAATTTATTATATTATACGCATGTACTATAAATAATTTTTAAATAAAAATAAATGTAGAAACATAATTTCGATTTGAAATCACGATTTTTTTTTTTAATTAAAAAAGTATTAATTATTTAATTAAATAATGTGAAAAAAAAAAAAACATTTAACTAATTTAGTTTTGAGTTAAAAGCAACCCACCATTAAGTGATTTCACTAGTAATAAACTAAACAAATACTTATATAACTCATATTATGTATATATAGTATAAAGATATCACTAATCACCCACTTAGCTACACACACACACACACACATATATATATATATGTATATATATATATTATATTAGCTTTGCATTTTGCTTTTAACTTGATGTGGGAGGATATGTATCAAGCCATTCAAATGCAATTTTACAAGTAAAGTAACATCACATCTTAAAAGAAAAAAGAGAAAATAATAATAATAATAATAATAGAAAGACATAAAAAGTGAGACAAGGGTTTTCATATGGTTTAAGCTTTTGAGAAATGTTGAAAAATTATTTGCGTGGAAAAGAAGGATTTCACACCCCTTAAAACATGCCTTCTGTTTTCTCCATGCATCATTTTCAATTTTGCTTTATTATTTAATTTAATATAATATTTTATCATTTCTTATTGAATAATTACTTATTTTTCTTTATCAAATATTATAAATTTGAATTAAAATATATATTTTTTCATATTTAGTTTAATGGGTTTTAATTATGTAAAATAAGAAGATAAATATCAAAAAATTACTCTTAACCAAATATAGTAGGGCAATTATTTGAGGCTTTCTTTTTTACCTAATTTCTGCTAAAATCGATAATTAAAAGAAAATTTAAAAAAAAAAAAAAAAAAAACACCCAAAAGAGCTTTTGATTCATTTTCGTATATATAAATCTCGGTGCCTATACATATGCATGCTTACTTTTCTTGACAAAAGTCCATACAACAAAAACTGCAAAACAAAGTATGCCAAAATATATTCATATCACATGCAAAATTAGCAATGACTTGAACACCAAGGCCTTCAAATTTTCTGTGTGTGTGTGTGTGTGTGTGTATAGATGTAAGTATAGATTTTTCCAGAATTGTCACGTCTTCTCTA